ATATACATATATATATACATATAACAGCATAAATGTCATATATAGAGAACTTATATACTTAGATGTACATCTTAACCAGCAAACAGAAACTACATTCTATTCAAGCCCATATTAACCTTTAAAATAAATATTGACAGCATATTAATCTGTAAAGGAGATTTTGATAAAGGAAAAGTATCAATATAATTCATATTATATGTTTTAGTCCACAGTTCTGTTGAATTAGAAATAAAAAATGAAATCATAGTTTAGGAATGGCTGGCGCCATGGCTCACTAGGCTAATACTCTGCCTGCATCTCCGGCACCCTGGGTTCTAGTCCCGGTCAGGGCGCCGGATTCTGTCCCTGTTGCCCCTCTTCCCTGCTGTGGCCAGGGAGTGCAGTGGAGGATGGCCCAAGTCCCTGGGCCCTGCACCCGCATGGGAGACCAGGAGAAGCACCTGGCTCCTGGCTTCGGATCAGCGCTATGCACCGGCTACAGCGGCCATTGGAGGGTGAACCAACGGTAAAGGAAGACCTTCCTCTCTGTCTCTCCCTCTCTCACTGTCCACTCTGCCCTCAAAAAAAAAAAAAAAAAAAAAGAGAGAGAGATTAGGAATAAACATGCAGACACACAGGAAAATCACAAATTTATAATAGATGAAAGATCTACAGGATTTTGAGAGGAAAGGATTTCTTAGACAAGACAAAAAGACTCAAGTCAAAATTAAAAGACAGATACATTGAACAAACCAAATGAAAGAATTTGTATCCCTAACAACACTCAAAATGTTAAAAAGGAAGAATGAGAGGAGAAAGATGCTGTAATAAGTAGATGGTCCAAGTCCCACATGGAGACCAGGAAGAAGCTCGTGGCTCCTGGCTTCAGATCGGCACAGTTCCAACTGTTGCGGCCATCTGGGGAGTGAACCATTGGATGGAAGACCTCTCTCTCTCTCTCTCTCTCTCTCTCTGCCTCTCCTCTCTATGTGTAACTCTGACTTTCAAATAAATCAATCAATCTTAAAAAAAAAAATGAAAGATGCTGTAATAAAAGTTAAAAGACAGTTACCAATTGGGAGAATATATTACAAATATACTTACATACAGCAGATTAATTATTAACATCCAGTCTATATAATAGAGCTTTTGGCATCAATTAGAAGAAGGAAACAAGTTGATACCACAATTTGTTTGTAGGCTGCTTCTGGGTCTATTAAAATGTTATAAAAATGCCCCATGGATGTTACTTTGGGGAAGGAAAATGAAAAAGCAGTTCATGGGAGGAATAAACTTCAACTTTATATTTAATCCCCTGCCTCTATAATGGATATTATTTTCAATCAAAATGGGAAAATGCTAGTATTTGTTAATTTACCAAGGAAACTGAAAATATATGAGCCAAATGATTCTTTATGTGTGTGTGTGTGTGTGTGTGAGAGAGAGAGAGAGAGAGAGAGTGAGTTTATTTATTGCTAGATTTCATGATAGTGCTTATTTTTTCCAGAGCAAGATTGGCACGTGGTCCTTCAAATAAGGAAATTTTGTATCTCAGTTGACTTAATTGGTCAAAAATGTTAATATGCTAATGTGTGGTTCATGTATATAGTTCTTCAGCCATTGGTTATGTTTTTACAACATCTAATGCACAATCATAGGAAAATCAGGAAGTAGTATTTTATAATCGGTATGCACAAAATTGAAGAACAGCAACAAGAAAGAAAGACAACCGAGGGGTGTGGGGAGCAACCCGGACTAGACTAAGTTACTGGAATTAAGACTTATTCTATACATCTGCTCTCCCACAATATGGCGCTGAGAAGGGAGAAACAGCTTCTACACAGCTGCCTCCAGTTCAACCAATAAACTGTAGGACCTGCTCCTGATTGGAGGAGAGCAGCGTACTCGGTGTGTGGGTAGCAGAGTTGGGATTGGTGGAAGAGGACTATAAAGGAGGAGAGAGACAACATGCACCAGGAACATCTGAGGGAACACCTGTGCAGCCCCCGAGAGAGCCGGCCGGCAGTGTGCCGCTCCCCTGCGGAAGTGGGGAAAGTGGCCAGGGGGAACCACCCTTCCACGGAGGTGGAAGGGACGGTAGCCAACCCAGGAAGAACCAGCAGCAAACCCGGGGAGGGCCGAGCAGACGAAAGAACAGCGCAGGGTCCTGTGTCGTTCCTCCATGAAGAGGGGGAGTGACATAATGGTGCCGTGACTCGGATATGAAGCCTAGGCAGGGTTTAGTGTCGTTCCTCCGTGAAGAGGGGGAGCGACATAATGGTGCCGTGACTCGGATAGGAAACTTAGGAGGGAAGAAATGGGAAGAAGTGGGAAAAGTACCGGAGAGAGAGACTAGCAAAGAGCCTAGGGAAAAGCTGGATGGAAAAGGTGCCGGAAGAAGCTATTGAAAGCCTAGGCATAGACTCAGATACGGACTGTGGGAAAGAAGTTAGGATTGAAAGCGAAAGTGAAAGCTTTCATAGACTCGGATGCGGACTATGGCGGGGAAGCTAGGAGATTGAAAGTGAATGTGAAACCTAGAAGAAACTTAAGACTTGGATACGGACTGTGGGGAGAGGCCAGGAGAAATGAGAGGGGAATATTGTTGTTGGAAGAAAAGTTAGGGAAACATACCGGGTAGAGAAAAATATGTTAGGGAGGATGAAGCCGCGAGTGCAGGCTGAAGCGGAGACGTAAGCAATCTTGGGATTCTTCAAGTCAGCCCGGGGAGCAAAAGGCGAAAATCTGGAACCAGAGGCAGAGACGTGGGCTGCCAGGTTGGAATCTGTCAGATTAGCCCGGGGAGCAAAGGACAGGAAGCCAAGCCGAAGGGCGCAGACGTGAGCTGGGTTGAATTCGCCAGGTTAGCCCGGGGAACTTGGACTGAATACCGGTGGCGGAAACGTGAGCTGTGCTGTGTGACTCGTGGAAGCCGCCGCGTGCAGAGAGAGCACGGGGCGTGAATAGATAGGGAACGTGGGGCTAGTGCGAGGCCGTGGTGCGGGCGCGGAGACCGCGGAGTGCGCGCGCGAAGCCGGGAAGCCGCGCAGATGAGAGAAGCATGGGCTGAAGCGGCTCAGAGCTGGGAAGCCGCCGAGAAGCAGCCTCGGGGCGGGCGCTGGGAAGCCGCAGGGATAAGAGAAACAGAAGTTTAGAAGTAAAATGAGAGAAATAGGAATGCTGGCAGATAGAAGTAAAATGGGAGAGATAGGAATGCCCGAAGATAGAGAAATAGAGAAAAATAAGGCCTCCCCTCAACATGGCAATGAGAGAGCTTGGATTCGGTCTGCCTGATTAGGGAGGTGGTGAGCACCTGCGGGCGGCTAGCAGCTTATGCACCGCAGGTCACCGAAGATAGGCACGAATCAACACCAATAAGTCTCCCCACAATACGGCAATGAGAGGGCTTGGATTCGGTTTGCCTGATTGGTAGGGCTTGTAAGCACCTGCAGGCAGTTCTAGCAGAGCAGAGCATGCGCTGCAGGGCACCGAACACAGGCACGCATCAGCGCCTAAAAACCTCCTCACAACATGGCAAAGAGAGGACCCAGATTCGGTTTGCCTGATTGATAGGGCTTGTAAGCACCTGTGGGCAACTCTAGCAAGCAGAGCAGAGTGTGTGCCGCGGGGCACCGAAGACAGGCGCCTATCAACGCCAAAAAATAAAAAGAAAGGGGGATCTGTGGGGAGCAACCCGGACTAGACTAAGTTACTGGAATTAAGACTTATTCTATACATCTGCTCTCCCACAATATGGCGCTGAGAAGGGAGAAACAGCTTCTACACAGCTGCCTCCAGTTCAACCAATAAACTGTAGGACCTGCTCCTGATTGGAGGAGAGCAGCGTACTCGGCGTGTGGGTAGCAGAGTTGGGATTGGTGGAAGAGGACTATAAAGGAGGAGAGAGACAACATGCACCAGGAACATCTGAGGGAACACCTGTGCAGCCCCCGAGAGAGCCGGCCGGCAGTGTGCCACTCCCCTGCGGAAGTGGGGAAAGTGGCCAGGGGGAACCGCCCTTCCACGGAGGTGGAAGGGACGGTAGCCAACCCAGGAAGAACCAGCAGCAAACCCGGGGAGGGCCGAGCAGACGAAAGAACAGCGCAGGGTCCTGTGTCGTTCCTCCACGAAGAGGGGGAGCGACAAGGGGCAAATCATCAAGACTTGGTAACAAAACCCACGTTTTTACAAAAGAGAAAAGTACTAGTGTGACAGGATTGTGAAGTCCACACCTCTGGCAGACTTGGAAGAGGACAAGTGGGCTTTGATCTTCAGACAGACAAGGAAGGCACTTTGGGCAGCAAGTGAGGGGAAACACATCTCAAATGGGCTCAAATGATGATGACAAACCTTGTGAATAGTTACCTAACAGGAAGGAGACATGGCTAATGGGAAGTCATGTAGAGTTGAAAAAGATGGGGGAGGGGTTGTTCAGGGCTCACCGGACACCACCAAGTACTTTGTGGATGTTTGCTCTGCCAGCCTGGGACTTGTCCTCACCCTCAGCCTGGATACTCCAGCCTCAAGGATCAAAATTGGATTAAAGACATATATAAATATAAATATATGTGTATATATATATGTGTGTGTGTGTATGTGTGTAGTTTCTCTTTCTTTGTCCTGTATTTATTTTCATTTTATTTTAAAGACAGAGAACTAGAGAGACAGACAGTGAGATCTTCCATCCACTGGTTCCGTCCACCAAAGCCTGTAACTGCCAGGGCTGGGTCAGGCAAAAGCCAGGCGTCTAGAACTCAGTCCAGGTCTCTCAAGTGGTTGGAAGAGACCCAGGTGCTTGAGCACCTGCTGCCTCCAATTCCTATGACAAAGGATCCATGCTAGGAAGGGACCACCGGAAGCCACCACAAGACCCTCCCCTTCATAACAGCTCCAGTGCACAGGACCAAGGGTGGACCTGATCCAGGGCTGATTGAGATGGGCCAATCAGCTTCTTTCACACAAGACGACAGACTCTCTTTCTCAAAAAATAAATAAATAAATAAATAAAATAATAATTAAAAAAATGCAGACGTTCTTCGCCGAGAGTCGCCGCGGTTTCCTGCTTCAACAGTGCTTGGACGGAACCCGGCGCTCGACCCCCGCCCCAGCCGGCCACTCAGAGCCAGCCCTCCGCCAGCTTCTCACAGCGCCCTCGGACCGCCCGCAGGCCCTCGCCGCCCCTCCAGCTCCGTGCAGCCGCCGCCGCCGCCTCTCAGCCGCCCGCCACGACGTCCGCGTCTTCTTCGCAGGTGTGCCAGAACTACCACCAGGACTCGGAGGCCGCCATCAACCGCCAAATCAACCTGGAGCTCTACGCCTCCTATGTCTACCTGTCCATGTCTTACTACTTTGACCGTGATGATGTGGCTTTGAAGAACTTTGCCAAATACTTCCTCCACCAGTCTCACGAGGAGAGAGAACACGCTGAGAAACTGAAGAAGCTGCAGAACCAGCGAGGGGGCCGGATCTTCTTTCAGGACATCAAGAAACCAGAGTATGATGACTGGGGAAGTGGGCTGAATGCAATGGAGTGTGCACTGCACCTGGAAAAAAGTGTGAATCAGTCACTACTGGAACTGCACAAACTGGCCACGGACAAAAATGACCCCCACTTGTGTGACTTCATTGAGACGCATTACCTGAATGAGCAGGTGAAGTCCATCAGAGAACTGGGTGACCACGTAACTAACTTGCGCAAGATGGGAGCCCCCGAATCTGGCATGGTGGAGTATCTCTTTGACAAGCACACCCTGGGACACAGTGATAACGAGAGCTAAGCCTTAGGCTCACTTCCTGGCTGTGCACCACGGCAGTGCCTGCATGTCGGGGCTGCCTTTACCTTTTCTAGACATTGTACCAAAACATCCACCTGCATACTTTAATTTGTACCATTCCTTCAAATAAAGAAATTTGGTACCAAAAAAAAAAGGGTGCACATGAGCAGGAAGCTACATCAGAAGTGGAGTAGGGGCCGGCATTGTGGCATAGCAGATAATGCTGCTGCCTTCAGTGCTGGCATCCCATATAGGTTTATGTTCAAGTCAGATAATGCTGCTGCCTTCAGTGCTGGCATCCCATATAGGTTTATGTTCAAGTTCTGGCTGCTCCACTTCCAATCCATCTCTCTGCTATGGCTTGGGACAGCAATACAAGATGGACCAAGACCTTGGGCCCGGCACCCTCATGGGAGACCTGGAAGAAGCTCCTGGCTCTTGGCTTCGAAATAGCACAGCTCTGGCCATTATGGCCATCTGGGGAGTGAACAGTGGATGGAAGACCTCTCTCTCTCTCTCTCTCTCTCTCTCTCTCTCTCTCTCTGCCTTTGCTCGTCTGTAACTCTGCCTTTCAAATAAATAAATGAATCTTCAAAAAACCAAGTGTAGTAGCTAGGAAGTGGACCATTGTCTTCTGGAGTTCATGGTCTACATTCACAGAAAGCTGGAGTTGAGCACTGGAACTTGGAATTGAATCCAGTCAGTTTGATATGGGAGAGAGGCATCACAGTTGGCGTCTTAACTACTAGACCAAACACCAGCACTCAGCCTGACTTGCTCAGCTTCTGAATATAAGGGGGAAATTTGGTATTTGTGTGTCTGACTCATTTCACTTTCTATAATGTCGTCCAGTTCCTTTAGTTTCCTGCAAATCATAGGATCTCATTCTTTTTATGGTTGAATGCTATTCCATTGTGTATGTAGGTGTATATCACATTTTCTTTATCCATTTATCTGCCGATGGGAAGTGGTTGAGTCTTTATCTGGGCTATTGCGAATTAAGCTGCAGGCAACATGGAAACGCTTTGTGGGGGGTTATGCTGGATTTATATTGGTTTTCTAAATATTCTTGTAGAAATAGAGGAAGGCTTCAAAGCATTTTATCAATGCTGTATTCAAATTTTCCTCCCTCTCCTCCAGCCCACATATTTGGAGGAACGCGTTGATACTTATTTGTTGAGTCAGCATTGAGTTCCGCAGGACCCACCATCCCCACCCTGCGGGTGTTATGTCAATCCTGAGCTCCTAACCCAGGCTCTGACTCACCCTCATGACTAACCTGAGCCATTTCTCCTGAAACCTGGAGACAGTGAAGGGTGTGATTGCATGGAGTTCTGCCCCTGACAGAGCAGTGTTGATGGAAACCCTTACGTCAGTGAGGCCCCTTCTCTGGGCTAACAGCACCCGCGTGGCAAAGCCCGAGGCTGTTTGAAAGCCAAAGATCGAGGACCTGTGAGCTCTGGGGTGACATTCTTGCAGTGCCAGGCTGAAACGTGCCCTATTCGCGCCAAAGGAGTGGTGCTGCCTTAGATTTCGGGCTCTGCTACCTGCCCTCCTCTCATTTTTGCCATTCCTGCCCCTGGAGGGAACTGGTGCTGTTTTCCTTGGCTCTGCAGGCATCTCTCTGCCACTACTGTTGTGGATGTGTAGGCAGAGGTTAAGGGGAGTCAGCTCTCTCACTAGGACCCCCTGAAGGGTTTCCCCTTGTATCTTATCCCTTTCTCATCTACATTATCATTAAGAGTGCCTTTCTCCCTTTCATCCCTTTGGGTCATGTTCCCAGAAAGCTTTATTTTGAAACCATGGAATGATCCTTAAATGATGTCTAGTGACTGGAAGCAACAGAATGTACTTCTTTGTGGTCAGAACTGCAATGTTGGCGGAGTTATAACCTGATTTCCCTTTGTCCCATTGTCATCAGCGGGATTCTGGCGGGTGGCAGCTGGGGGTACAGAATCCTGCGGCGCTGGCTTTGGTGCTGTGCTCACTGTCCCCGTGGCTGCTGGAGATGCACCTTGCTTTCTTCCAGCTTCAATCTTCCAGTTTCTAAACTGGCAGTCAGACTTTTACCAAATAGATTTGTGGGACGTTTAAATAAAATGATGACATAGAGTACCCACAGTTTTGAGAATGTGGAACACGTTTGGCTAATGTTACTATTACTAAGAAACATTAGCTACTATTACTTAGAGCAGTGAATTATGTTTTATGTCTATTACAATACAAGATTAAGGTATTAAGATGGCTATTAAGAGTAAGACAAACAAAATATTTTATTTTGCTTGCACTTATTCCTCTTCCAATGGTTCCTTTATTTATATGGACCCAGGTTTCTTATCCATACCTTTTTCCTGTTTCTCTAAGAAAACGTTTGAACTTTCAGGTTTGTTGGCAATAAATTAGCTCTGTTTATGTTTTCTTGAGAAACTATTTGTTTCTCTTTCACTTCACAGAGGTAATTTTGCCTGATCTAAAATTCTACGATGGTGGAGGTTTTGCTACACAATATTTTTCCTCTGCTTTCTTTTTGTTTATGTGATTTCTGGCGCAAATTCTGTTGCAATTCTTGTCCTTGTTCCTGTACACATAAGATTTTTCCCCCTGACTTTTTTCAACATATTTTCTTTGTCTTGTGGTTTCTGCAGTTTGAATATGATATGATTTGTTTTGCTTGGCTTTGTTTTGCTCTTCCTAAAGATCACCTTTTAACACTGATTTACCCCAAGTGTGCGTAAGCTTCTTGCATCTGTGGTTTGGTATTTGTTTTCAGTTTTGGAAAATACTCAGCTGCTATTACTTCACGTGCTATTCCTTCTAAATTCTGTGTCTTCTGCTCTGGTGCCCCAGTTATACATATGTTATGGCCACAGTTCTTGGATGTTTTGCTTATTGACTGTTCATTTTCTCCCTGCTTATCTGTTTGGGAAGCCTTTATTGATTATGTGCAGCTCACTGAGTCTTTCTCCAACTGTGTCCAGTCTACTGCTAAGCTTATCAAGAAATTATTCCTTTTTGTTATACATCTAAAAATTCTACTGTTTCCTTTTGATTTTTTTCTTAGAGATGCTATCTCTGCTTCCACGGCTCACACATTTCTTATGTTGTCACTTTTTGTGTTAGCAACCATGTGCACCACAGCTTGTGAAATCCCCTTTCTGATAATGCCAGTATTTGAGTAATGATGAGCATGGCTCCGACAGCCGTCTTGTCCCTTTGGCGGATTGGTTTTGCTCACGCTCTAGCGTGCCTGCTGGCTTTTGTTAAAAGTCAGCATATACCGGGTAATGGAAACTGAGCTAAGTAGCATTTGCTATGTGGTTTTGCATCAGCTTGGCAAGGAGTTGGGCTGTGTTTGACACTCCTGGGGCTACAGAGGCCAGAGGCTTCCAAGTCCTTGTGTCTGTGGTGTTGTCTCTTTGGTTACTGTGGGGCCCCTCAGGACTTTCACTAAGAGATGCTGTCTGGTTTTACCTACTATTGTGTGTGTGTATGTTTGTGTGTGTGTATACTATTCTCAATACTGGGACTCTGTGGCTCCAATAGCAAGGTGGTGGGGAAGGGAAAAAGTTTATAATCATACTATCAAATCTCCCTGTTTTAATGGGAAGAGAACTCCAAGTCACCACAACTCAACATAAAATGAAACTAACGATGGAATAAAGCAGCATGAAAGCAAAGTACGTTAACTATTGTTTAAGAAATACAGGTATATCTTTATAAACACAATTATCAATTGTTGGAATAAATTAATTAAAAGGTCAACCTAAACCTAAACCAAATGGCCTCCTCACTACAGAAGAAGAGGTCAAGGCAGAAGAGGCAGGGTTGAAAGGAGCTATTGTCATTATAATACACCTTATTATACAGCCTGTAACTGGATATCTCACATGATATAAAAATTTTAAGTCAATGACAAGAAAAGGACTATCTAAACTTGAAAGCAAGCTTAAATGAACAACAACAATAATAATAAAAACCTATTTCAACTGATGGCCTAACTACGAGGAGAAAATACTGATCGCAAGTGACTTTGAACACAATATTTCACCTGCACATCTGTATCAGGACAGTTATAAAGGAACCAAACTGAAAATAACTGTTAAACTTCCAAAATATTACTAGTATTTGTAATATTTGTATTATTATATTGCAAGTATTATAGTTCTACTATAAGTTGAATCCAATACATAATTCTATTAATAGGAGCCAAGAATTTTATGTAACAAAAAGTGCAAGTTTAAAATAAAAAAAATTCAGTAATAGAAAATTGTCCAGTATAGCAAGGAAGTCAGATCATAACTGGAGTGGGAAAAGCTAATTAACTGAAACCACACTGAGCCAAATCAGGGGTGGGAATCATCTTCTGACAAGGATTCAGAGAAGTCATGCTAAAAATGCTTTTACAATTAATGACAAATTATCTTGGCACAAACTAAAAGATAGAAATCTACCTCAAAGAAATAGCCATTACATGAAAGACTACAGTTGCATCCATTTTGTTGCAAAAGATAGTTCATTCTTTTTTATAGCTGAGTAATATATATATAATTTCTTTATATAATTTTATGAGTAATATATATACATATATGTATATGTATATATATATATACATAATTTCTTTATCCAGTCATTAGTTGACAGACATCTTGTTGATTCCAAATCTTAGCTGTTGTGAATTGAGCTGCAATAAACACGGGGGTAAACTCCCAGTAGTGGGATGCGGGGAATATGGTAGAACTATTTTCAGCTTTCTGAGCTATCTCTATACTGTCTTCTACATAGTTGTACTAGTTCACATTCCTACCAACTGTCTTTTCCCTACATCCTTGCCAGCACTTATTGCTTGTTGATTTCCATAGGAGAACCATTCTAACTGGGGTGAGGTGAAACCTCATTGTGGTTTTGATTTGCATTTCCTCGATGGCTAGTGATCCTGAGCACTTTTTCATGTGTCTGTTGGTCATTTGTATTTCCTTTTTTGAAAAATGCCTGTTCAAGTCTTTCACCCATTTCTTAACTCACTTGTTTTGTTGTTGTTGAGTTTCTTGAGCATTTTATAGATTCTGGATAGGAATCCTTTATGCCTAGTGAAATAAGCCAGTCCGAGAGAGACAAATGCCATATGATTTTTCTGGTCCATAGTAACTAATAGAA